TTAAAACAAATATTTTAAAAATAATATTAAAACTAGAAGAATATTAATTAAATATTTAAAATTATAATGATAATAAATAATTTTATTTATGATAATGTAAATAAATAATTTCAAATTATTTTATCATAATTATAACATAACAATAGTATTTATAGTATTTTAAATTTATCATATAATTTTTTTTTCTTATATAATATATTAAATTATAATATTTTTGGATCATTTAAATATTTTATTTTTTTAATAATAATATAATATCAAATTTTAATACACTATTTTTAATTGAATAATAAAATGGAGTGAAAGAAAAAATAAGAAATAAATAAAAAAATAAATTAAGAAAGAGTAAAAATAATTATATTATGTCAAATATTTTTTTTATTAAATTTTATATATTATCAATAAACAAATCTAATTTAATAAATAAATTTATAAAAAATTTAATTAAATAATTTTTTTAAAATATATTATTATGTGAATGATTTCAATAAGGAAAAATGCTTACGTGGATTAGCGGTTGCGTAGTTGAGGTTGTCTTCTTCGTTGCACTCAATTACCTCGGAAATGGTTTGGTACAGAAGGTATAAAGAATTCGCGGTAATTTGACATGCGTTGATAGTGTAGGTATAGCCGTTAATTATCTGTTATTTATTATTGTTATTATTTTTTTAATTTAAGTCTGGGAAGTATCTTAAAGATGGAAGCAATTACATGATATAATAGGATACAGAATCTAGTTGTTTGATAGACTGATAGGACATAATTTATTATTATTATTATTATTATTTTAATCTTTTTTTATTATTGTAATATTTTTATATTATTTATTATGAAATAAGTATTATTATTATAAAAAAATATTTTTAATTTTGTTATTATTATTATTGATATCTATAATAAATATTTTTTTTAATTGTTTTTTCTTTTTCATCTTAAAGAGAAAATATATAATTTATATTTTTCTTGCGTGATTTCTTTGAATACATTTTTTTATCTGTTCTCTCGAATATACTTTTTATAATATAAAATAATAAAAAATTATTATTTTTCATTTAGTTTTCCAACTAGATGTATGTCTCATATTTTTATGTTTTTAATAATTTATATTTTAAAATATTTATATTTTAAAATTAATATATAATTAAATTTTAAAAAATCAAAAATAAAAAACATAATAAAATTGTAAATACATAAACATGTATACGTATATATTTCCGTAACAACCCTAAAAATCACTACTATAATGATACATTCGTAAAATAGTAAACATTAAAATAATAACATTTATATTACATTATATTACTCGTAATTGTAATATAGACTGAAATCCCGATTCATTGGCGGAACCTCAAAACATAGTAACATAATTTATTTATATAGATACATACAAAAGTAGCTCCCACAAAACTACCCTACTGAACTATCCCTGTTGTCCAGTAGTCACATCTCTACTTCTCAACTCCTTATTTGTTCTCACATAAAAGTGATCATTGCAATCTCATCCACATGAAAAAATAGGGTAAGTATTAAATCATTCGATATAATAAAACATATATATAAGTAATAATTACATATTATCATCAATTACAAATCATCAATACACTAAGACGCCTTCCGGAAGTCTACCCTAACTATGTCCGAACTCAGAGGATATCATCTGTGGGCACATTGTGATCGACACCTCAGTATCATTCTGACCTCCCTCCACACATAGTAGAATTACTGGCGCCCTTCATCACTCATACTGGATTACCTCTTCGAGTGCGCCACAAGTCATCCCTCATCGACTTCTCTCCACCTGATTTCGTAGTCTACCTGACCCGACCAATCAGTGAATTCTGGGACCTCATTCACTGACTGAATAGTCCTCTCTGATTGTCCATCTGTCTAGGGATGATAGGCTGAAGTCAACCTAAGTCGAGTACCTAATTCCTCTTGTAAAGTCTGTCATAATCGTGAAATAAATCTGAGATCCCTATCTGAGATAATGCTAGATGGCACCCCATGTAATCGGACAATCTCGCGAATATATAGTTGTGACAGCTTAGCCATAGATATCCTCAGATTTACATGGAGGAAATGTGTACTCTTCGTTAATCTATCCACTATCACCCAGATCGAATCGTACCCCCGAATTGTCCGTGGTAAATGGGTAACAAAATCCATGGTAATGTTATCCCACTTCCACTCAAGTATCTCTATTTGTTGTAGCATTCCTCCCCGCCTCTGGTATTCTACCTTTGCTTTCTGACAAGTCAAACAAGCAGCCACATACTCTGCAATATCTCTCCTCATACCAGACCACCAATAAACCTTTTTCAGATCCTGATACATCTTAGTCATACCAGGATGTAGACTCAAACGACTCTGATAACCTTCATCTAGTATTGCTCTCTTCAATTCCTGGTCAACAGGAATACAAATCTTTCCTCTGAATCTCAGAATACTATCCTCACCCATTTTGTAGTCAATGGTCTGCTCGGATCTTAACTGATCCATAACACCTTTCAATGTACTTTGTACTTTGTATCACCCCGGGTACCATTCAAACACAACAAAAATAATTCACATCTGCCGGATTATGGATCACCTGTCCTCATGGCTCATTCGGGTCACAAAATAATAGTACTTGACTGATTCTAAGTACCAACTCTTCGACTCAGTCTAGCCAATACATAACATCTCATAACTGATTCTGGGCATCAACCCTTAGACTCAATCCGACCCACACACGTCACAACACACTATTGAATCTTTAAAACTCGCACCTTCATTCTATATTTTAAATATATATATATATATATATATATATATATATATATATATATATATATATATTCTTCTTTTTTTCTAAAATCTTTTCCGAAATTATTAAATTACTATTTTGCCCTTAATCTTTTCTCGAAAATTCCATGTATGTCCCTAAATGACTATTTTACCCTTGGATATTTTCAAAAATTCCTTCCATGTCCCGAAAATGACTATTTTACCCTTGAAATTTTCAAAAAATCTTTCCATGTCCCTTTCTTCTTCCTCGCGTCAGTCACATTATCAAATTTTGCAGATTTTAGTATATTTCAAATTACTCAGCTTATAGACAACCAAATTAGTCCCAAATTCAAATTAAACATGAGTTATATCTAATTTAAGTTAAAAATAACAATTTTACCATATAATTCATCCTTAATTTCAAGAATTGCAACAAAATTTCAAGTTTTGCAAAATATGAGAAATCTTAAAAATCAATCATTCTAATGTTCGATTTTCACTCTTTTTCCTTATTCACAGAATACTTCAACAATTCAGTCTCATATATTGAATGAATTAAACTTTCCCTTACCTGGTGTGGTATTTCTATCAAAGTTTTCCTACTTAATTCAAGTTCTCTTTAGTTTCACCAAATCTTGCACGAGTAGATTCTCGTTGCTTGAAATTTAGACAAAAAAAGAAGAAAGATGAGAGAGAGAACTACTTGCTGAAATTTTTTGCCTACTCTCTCCTTTCTGTACACACATATATAAAAGAAAAATTTTACTATGCATGAAAAACTGTTAGGAAGTGTTTTGCACAATAATATTATTATAATAAAAAAAACATACGTCACAATTTTAATATAATCATAAAATTAACACAATAGACTGTGTAAAGTTACATTGTTTATATATCGATAAAGAAAAAGTATACAAAAGATATCTATAAACAACCTAGACCCAACGAATATCAAGTGAACCACGTTCCTATCATTGAAATTTTTTCCAAAGCAAAAGAGGTAGCTTTTAATACACTTTTCAATCCATTTTTATTTTATTGCTTTTCTTCTTTTTCTTTTTCCACAAACCACAACCTTCATTTGGGGGTGAAAGACATGTTAAGCAATAGGCACTAAAATAGAAACCTGATCTTTTAGGTAACATGATCCTTCAAAGTCAATAAAATATATTTCACAATATTTTTAAACAATAGAAAACAAAAACGTATTTTACCATATAATTTTTTTGTTAAAAGATATAGCTGCTTTCAGGTTTTGCCCTCTCGAGTACTTTCTTTGTTGTCAAATTAACATCCAGGGTTTGAATTTTGAAATATGTTTATACACTTTTTGTCATGCTGTGTTGTTTTATTAATATTTATTTGCACAAGAATATTTAGTTGTTTCATAAGTGATCAAATATTCAAAATTTAAAAATGTAAAGTTGAAATAATAATTACATTAAATGATAATTAAACTTGTATTTGTAAAAATTGATTCACCCTCATTCCGAATTTAATAATAAAAAAAATTGATCAATATAAATAATGCATCCCTAATATTATTTAATCAGATTTTATATTTAAATTTTAAAATATTAATATTTTAAAAATAATTTCTTTTCTTTTTCTATTACCTATAAAATATATTTTTATATTTCCCCATTTTTACTTTTCTTTCATCTATTTTTTAATTCTTATTATTTTATTTATATTATATATATATATATATATATATATATATATATATAATGATTACATTGCCCTTTTAATGATATATTATTTTTGCAATTGCAAATGAAATATAGTTTAAAAAAAGTTTAACTACAACATAAAATTAAAGTTCGCCTAGCATAAAAGTTTAACATGCAAACTAAAAAATGTTACCGATACACTTTCGACTTAGGTTAATATCACGGTTGACCTGCAAAAATACTGAATCAACAACACTAAATAGAAAATCAAATGCAGATCTCGTCTAAATAGTACCACAAAATTAAGACAGATAGGTTTTTCATCTTGCCAGCTACAAAAATTTTCGTTCCTTCGGGAACATCTAACATTGTCTGTTGGCTGTAACATTACCCCCCGATCATAAAAGTACATATCAGCAACATGATTCGATTTATGTTAGATGGTACCGAAATATGGGCAACAATACTGTGCAGTCCCCAAGAATAAAAAACAATACCACCTGCATTCTTCAAACAACAGACCAAAAATTGAGGCAAAATATTCTATATGCTTCCCAGTCATTCCTCATCAGAATAATTAAACTTTACTGAGTGAGACTGTAAATCAATCTGGCCTCCCCGATAGCTTCCACGTTTCTTCTTGGTTTTCTCATGACGAAAATCCCTGAATCAGAAAAAGGTTCGATCTCAATAGACAAAAAATCGCAATAAAAGACAGTTATAGAACGCGTATGTTAAAGAAATTCTGCGTACATATTGTGTGTGTGTGTATATATATATATAACTAGTGCAACCATGCGAATTATTTATAGACTGTCCGTGAAAGTGCAAAACTTGCAAGCCAAAATCACTACTCTTGAAATCACAGACCTTCCTCTAACTTGATCAAGAATCTCTGCTGCTTTAGCACCATAACCAGTCTCGGCACCATCCTGCAGACAGATACACAAATAACAATTTGTTGGAGAATGTAATAAGGGAGAAATTCACAACCCCAAATGCATTCAAAAAGAAAAGTGAAAAATATCAGTATCATACCTTTGCCCAATAAGAGTTATCCTGAAGCCTCTCATCAGTAAACTGTATCTTATCAACTTGTACTCGCTGAAATGCCGTCTTCACTGATTTTTGCTACAATTACAGTTATCACAAACATGAATCCAACCATGTTAGCTTCATCAGTGAAATTAGTAGTTTAGATTCATATAACTATTAAACCAAAATTATAGAATATAACAACAACAATAGGCAAAGAACGAGAGAAAACATAAAATTAAGCAGTGCAAACAGCCTAAAAAGGCAGACAGATAGCAGATATGGGAGACATAGTAAAACTACGGACATTGGTACAAACTGCAGGAATTTACGATACTAAACTTCAATTTAAAGATACATCACCAAACACCACAACCTGGAACAACACTTAAGTTAAAGACTCTATTAATCTAATAGAATATTCATAGGATTAACTGATGAGGCAATTCTTTATTAAGAACATATATTTCCTCAAAAAAAATAATGAAGGCTAACTCAACTCAAACAAACCACATGGCCAAGGGCAGTGTGCAAAAATAAAATGTTGATTATATCCTAAACGAGAGAAGAATAAGGGTGAAGTTTCATTCAAATGTGCTTTATATATTAGCAATCAGCAAGTGAAATATACAGAGAACAATCATACCTCAATTGATCCCTTTTGTTGTTTCTTCTGAGACCTCTGTACAGAAGATTTCTCTCCAAGGTTCCCATTGGTTTGCTCCTCAGATGCCATCTGTAATTCATCACCACCTACTTGACCACTTGCCACAATATCGTCTTCATTAGAATTTAAATCATTTCCCTGATTTGAATTTGTTGTTGCTGACTTCTCTCCTCTCTTAGATACATTGATGTTTTCTATTTTCCTGCGTTTGGTTTCTTCATCTGCCGAAACATCTGCAACTTGTTGATCATTTTCTTCAGTAATCGGTCTTTTTCTTTTCTTAGAACTTTTCTTCTCCTCATGTGCCATCTCTTTGCTTGACACTTCAATATTCTTTTCCTTCAAAACAATTTCATTGGGATCTTCAGTATGCTCTATTTCATCACTTTGACCACTTCGCTTGTCTTTCTTTTTTGATTTAGACTTAGATTTTTTCTCTATCTCAGAGCCATTAATAACTTTAGTATCTGTAGAAATATCAGCTCTTACTTTATTTTCTGCAACAGTAGTAACAGACTCCAATTGATTTTCTTCCACATTATTAGCAAGGGACTCAGAAACTAACTTGCTTTTCTTTTTCTTTTTTTCTTTGGATTTAACCTCTTTGTTTTTTCCCTGCACACCTGCAACCATCAGGAAGCAGAAGAGCCAGTATAAAGATTTGATTGCCAGAGCTTAGGAAGTAACATATTTAGATACAAAGGCACGTAAATTTGTTATGACAATAAAAGGTGTCCCAGAGCACAAGGCTCTCATGTGGTTGAGTCTGACAGAATACATGTACATAACCTTGCCCTTGCAAGATTTATCATGACCTCTATGTTACAATGCAACAATTTTGACTTTGTGTCAAGTAAGTCACGAAGACAGGAAAAAAATTCAACAAATTCAAACTAACCTTGCTCATTTTGATCGTTAATATTTGATTTAGCCTCTTTGCCACTGAAAAGAGACAAAAAACAAGGAAAAGCTCCATTAACATACAAAACATCATTCGTGCAGAGACTAATTGGTGCATCAGATACTAGAAGAGTGGCATCAGACAAGAGCTAGCTACAGTGCTACAAAAAATATTGGGGACAATTTTGCATCATATGCTTAGAGTGTTTTCATAAGAATAATGAAACATAATAAGTGAATCTGCAGTTCATGAGATTCAGCAGTGTATTCAAATGGAGCAGAATAACAGCATCTTCAGGGGGCATCTCTAAGCCCTTACACAAGAAATATGATTTAACTTACATCTTCTCCTTGGTACTTTAGTTTGGACTTGACAGTTTTTTAAGGAGTGTATCCGTTCTAACAAGTAAGCAAGCATACATAGTTTTCATGGGACTCTATGTCTTTGTTTACTTTTTATGGATTGGAAGATAATTGAAACAGTCACAACTGTACTTTTTTCTGCTAATATAGTCCATTAACATAGGAAATATTCTAGATAATACCTTTAAAATTATCGAGCAAAATACATTTGGGTCAAACAGAATTTTAACAAAAGGAACTTCTTAAAAAGCAACAATTTTAATGAAGAAAACTTTCAAACAAAAACACTTGTCAAACACTTGACAATGATATTCTTAAAGGCACCATAAATTGCAATCCTTTTTAAGAATGTCGCAGGTCACAGTTAAAATATTGCTTTCAGTCACAAGAGCACCCATTCTGAAAGATGTCAAAAACACAAGTTCTCTTTATTTATCGTTCTTTATTTTTATTTCAAGAGCAAAACAAAGTATCATAATAAAACCATTTCTCCACAACATTGACCATGTGGAGTAAATAACTACTTTACAATGTAAAGCTAACATTACTGGCCTTACCATATTTCTAAATACTTGAGGCACATTTCTTCCAGATCAACTGGTGATCCCTCCAAATCATTTTTCTGCATCACAAGCATAAGCAACAAAGTAAAACACAGAAGGCAGACCCAGTCACTTGAAATCTGTCACTCAACAACTCCTTTTCGTATTTTCCCGAATTGGACAATTTACGAAAAACACTTGTACAAGAGGAAAAATAAGAAGATTAAACGAATTGAGATTATTTCATAAAACTAAATTAGAGACACTTAATTTATTTGATCTTTTTATTTTCTTTTGCAAGTGTTTATGGAGGAATCAATCCAAACAGAACCTATATATATGTACTTGATAATTTATAATGGCATCCTTGTTATCTAAGGAAGAGAAGCTTTTATTCTCAAACTGGTACAACAATCAAGACAAGGGATTTTCAACACCCTGTGCATTCCAGCCTGTGTTAAGAAACAAATTCATGTGCATTCCAACTTATGTTATGAAACCAAATCAAGTTGTGTGGGGTTAAAACAAGCATGAATTAATAATATTACAAGGTGGAAGTTATAAAAAGTTAGAGAGCACAGAATAGAGAAACCAATTGTATAACATCCTCTGGTGCAATATCCTATACCTAACTAAAAGTTGTTCAAGCATAGAGTTAGGGTTCAACGTAATAAAGTTACAAACCAGCTATGTAACCGACCTCGATTTTCGCTTCGAAGCGAAATTTTTTGAGCGTCTTGGAGAAGCCACTGAGCTCCAAGTAACGGGCAATGGATTGGTGAAGGAGAAGTGTGGGTTCCCGCTTGGTGTTTGGAGTTCCGTTCTGAGCAGTGTGCTTCATGTTTTGGTTGCTCAACAAAACTTGGCGAGGGGTAAAAACGAAGATGGTAGAGCTTTCTTTGTTACTCGGTGGAGTTGCAGGCATGCGAAGACAGAGTATTCTTCAACTCTGTTCTCTGTAACCTAACTAGTCCACTGCAACTGCCACACACAGCTATAGAAAAAGGGTTGAATTAGGGTTTCACCAAAACCCTTTTCCTGGTAAGTGTTAACGGGCCAAAAGACCCATATATATTACATAATACTTTTTTTAATGTATAAATAAGGTGTCAACAAGTTTTTAGTAATTAGATTTATACTTTTGTTGTTAAAAAAAAAACTCTGTTTTTCTTTCAAAATTTTTTTAAAAAATATACCTTTTTATTTATAATATTATATGATATTAAATAAATACTCAACAATTTGTAACATATTAATTTTGAATGACTTATACTAGTGATTTAATATAAGCAAATGACATATCTACAAAATTACTATTATCAACAAAATAAATTCTTCCTGTCATTTTAGAAAATAAAAATAGTGATTTAAATTTTTTAAAGAAAATAAATTGTATATATTATTTTAAAAAATAATTATAATGTAAATTTATTTTATGTGATGTTGTGATGGATATTAGATATATTTATTTTAAATACTATTAAACTCTTAAAATACATGATTTAAAAATATATCAAGTTATAATATTATAAAATATTAAATTCTCGAATATCGAAATATTAAAATCCTACTGAAATTTTTTAAATTTATTAAAAAAATAGTTTAAAACAAGTTAAGGACTCTTTTTAAAAAAATCATAATTATCATTGAATTATTTTACTGTGAAAAAAAAGACCTCTTAAAAAAAATATTAAGCTTTGAATCACTACTTATTTATAAATTTATTTTAATTCAAAACATTTATGATTAAATATCATCAAATATTTTTATTAACAATTCATCTGTATATATTAATTGCAATCATAGCTCACACTGTAATTGGTTTTCAGAAAAATTATAATAGATTTGTTTTTAAATGATTATGTGAGAAAAATTAATCAATTATATAATAAAGAAAATGCTTGTATAAGGGTAAAATGAACTTCCCACATTTTAAATCCTTATATTTATTTTACATTTTTTAATAAAATATTTGTTGTGTTGATTGTTTGAACCGAGTAAAAATAATATACTAAGGTTAAGAGTATCAAAATAAACTTAATTTAATAAGATAATTAAAATTAAATTTATCAAAATATATTTAAAATAAAAATTAATTTTATAAATATAAACTATATTTTAAAAATATATATTTTTTTTATATTTTGTTTAAACACTTTTAATTAATTATTTTGATATGAAAATGTTAATAATTTTTTTAAAATTTTTAATCATATTAAATTTGGTTGATTAGTCGGATGACCTAACATATGACTAGACTAGAAAAAAAATGGTATATTTAAAAATATACGTTAAATTAGGTCATTAAATTTGTTTACTTTGTAAAATAGGACTATTTTGACAATCCTAAGCAAAGGTAAAGTTATAACAATCCTATGCAAAATATAAAGCCTGAAAAGTTACAGAATTAGAAATGTAAAAACTTAATCTTCAAACTTCATTATTACAAAATCATCGTCCTTCTATGTCTCTAATTTTTTTTCAAATCTTATCTATTTTTTTCTTGATCCAAGCATGTCTTATTGTTATTGAGTCAAGTAAATGAATTTTGCCCATTTAGAATTTCAAATGGATAAAATCTTCTTTCCTAATTTTACTTTATTTTTACATATTGGGGACCAGAGTTGTATGTATATATAAGGTATTTGAACCTAGACTTTGTTAGAGAAAAGAATAATCTTAAAATTTATAAGTATTATGGTATAATAAATTTGTTAATAGGAACTTTTTATTAATAAGTTATATCCTTTTAAAAATTTAAAAATTTTTTGGTTTCTTTAACTTATATGCACTATATCGAAATAAGAGAAGTTAATTACTTTTCAATTTCTATAATACTTTATGTTAGGGTGACATAGCTACATTGTTTAAATTATATAATCAATTTGATTATTTGTTTATTGAGTTTGAGTTTGAAAGTGAGTTTATAAATTGTTATATATATATATATATATATAACATAATTTATATGTCATGAATCAGTAAAACGTATTTAATTTCGCATAACATATGTAAGATAAAATAAAAAATGTTTAAATTTCATTCAACGCTTTTAAACACGCTTAATGAATTTGGGTAATGATGAATGTTTAACTTTACAAATTTTGCATAGAAAAATTTTAATAGAAATGAATATTGAAATTGTCACCAAATTGTTCCATCATTTAAATTTCTCATAATGAACTTGAAATTCACTTAGTTGTTTTCCTAAAAAATATTCTCAAAACCTTAATGTTTTAAAAGGTTTTTTTTAATGAAATAAAATAATTTCTATATATCATTTTATTTAGAATATTAGGTGAAATACTTTACTAAATATATTGGAGTGAAATATATGTATCAAACTGAATACTCATACGTTAAGTCTAAAATGTGAAACAAAATTATATATTGATAAATTATTTAAAAATTTATCTTTATGTAAATAGGAGTGTACATTTCAAACTCGATATTCGTGTATTAAATATTTCGAAAATTATGATTAGATATATTTTGAGTTATTTTACATATTAAAATTTTTTTATTTTAGATATATTTTAGGATATTACATCACAAATTTATTTCATCTATCTCTTCAATTTATTCGATAAAATTCATGGACTGAAATCTATTTTCTTTTATATTTATATATATTACATATACAAAACAAATTAAAACTTAATATTTGATGGTAGTTTTAGTGATTAAATAGTGATATAATAATTTAAAATTAAAGAAAAATATTTTGATACTGAAATTGGAAGTTATATATGGTCATGACACGTTATGACATTTAAGCCTTTTGTATTTGGGGTCATTTTCATAGCATTTGCATAAGTGGAAAAACAATGAAGAAGGCTCAATATAATTGAAAAGTGTGTTGTTTGAGTAGCTATAAATATGGGCCACTAGCACATGTGCAGTTGAGTTTAGCATTTTTTAACTCTTTCAATTGCCAAACCAAAACCACACAGGAGTGCTTCGAAAGCTACAAATGAAAGCTACTTCACACACATAAAATCTCATGCATTTATTACTCTCAACGTCTTTTACTTTGTTCATCTCTAAGATTCAACACATGACACAGAGTTTGCATCAGCAAAATTCGTGACTAGTGTTTGTTTTTTCAAAATCAGTCATTGCCAATAGCTATAATTAATCTAAAAATATTTTGTAAGGTTAGTGAGTTGCTACAAATTAACCATATAAGAGTAATTTATATATAAATTTGACTCTCAGTAGGAGAGTGAGTCAGTCACGTAACTTTTTTTTTAGTTATTTGCATCATTATTGTGTCGGATCGGGACTTTACAAGAAAATTATGTTATAGAGAAGTTTCAAAGACTATTTAATTTCCTGTGATTGGAGATGTTAGAAAAGGACATTTTTGTCAAACTGTTAATATGAAGATATAAACGTGTTTGGTATTTTAAAGTTCAATGTTATTTCGTCTATAAGAATAACGTCTTTTTAAATTTTTATTTACCAAATACTGCTGAGTGATATTATTTTATTAACCACTGAAAGCATATGTTTCTATTAAATACAAATATTAAAATATATTATTTTTTATAAAAAAATATTTTTGAGCTATTTTGAAATATAAAATGTAATTATATATTCATATATATTACTGCTGACAAATTAATTAACGTTCTTTTTTAGATATTTTTTAAAATAATGACTATCAAATATGTTAGTGAAACGAATATCCTATAATTGTTAGTAAAACAATTTATAACAAAGATCAAGATATTAATAAGAATATGTTTATAACAATAAACATATCTAATAAAAGTAAATTACATGAAATTTTTTATATATAAAATATATATTTATTGCGTTATATTAATCTAAAATAAATTTATATATTAAATCATTATAAACAAGTAATAATCTGCTAATACATCTTAATTAAGGTAAAAATGACAGGGGCATTAAAAACTAATTCTAATAATATAAATAAGTCATTAATTCGGAATACACCTAAGAGTAACCTAACAGATAAGATAACAGTTAACTATAAAAGAAAAAGAAGGACATTTTGCTTTTAAAGTGAGAAATATTAAAAAAAAACCATTAACTTAAAAGACAAGAGACATTATTTAGAATTATAAAATATTATTTTATTATAAATTTATATATTTTTTAAATTATTTAAGTTTAAATTAATAAAATATATCACATCAAATTACTCATTTCATTCTTATAATTACTATATTTTATTAAAATAATATGATTAATATATATATATATATATATATATATATATAATATAATAGTATAACTTTAAATATAAAAAATATAAAAGAATTTTATAAAATAATATTTTTATATTTTTTCTTTTTTTAATATCTTAAAATTTATATTTGATAAAATATTTTTTAAAATATAAACCTATTTTATAGTAATGATAATTTAATACTATAATACATAATTGAAGTTTTTTATTAGAAAAATATATTTTAACGATCATTTAAGAAAAAAATAAAACTATTATAATAATAAAATAATAAAAGTTATTATTATATTATTATAACAGTTTTTTTTTTTCAAAGTGAAGATGAATAAATAATCATTCTTTTTAACAATAGGAAAAACTAGGAAACAGAGTATGAAGGTCTAATTTTATCGTGTAGTGGTGGTGAACATGGATGATGTGCAAAAAAGTAAAAGGAGAGGACCAGTTATATGTGATGTGAAGAGTACAATTTTACAGTTAAACGCATGTGATGGGTCCCTCCATCTGCTGCGTCACTTTCTCTTATAGTTTTTGTGTCGTTGTACTCTTTTTATAAGCCCCATATCTCATCTCAATCCACCCGTGAATACAACCATGACCCAACCTCGACCAAACCACTGTTTCTATGCCAACTATTCTCTCTCAAACCTTTCCAAGGGAGACCAAAAAATTGATTATGGCTGCAATGATAATAATAATAACCTCATTTCATACGTTATACACAAGAGATTTCGCAAAATAAAAATTGCACCAGACGACAAAACTGCATATCTGGCAAACCACCGTTCTCTTCTGTCTTTTTCTGGTGTCCTCTTTTCATCCATTCTCCTCTCTCTCTCTCTAGTATCTCCCACTGTATACCCCAAATATACTCCTGCCTGTATATCATTTCTGCACTGTTTCTCTCAAATAAAATTATATTTTAATTACAATAAGCTTCACGGACACTTGTTTTATATTGCACATTAATTTAAGCATAGTTAAAAGTTAGGTACTGAATGACGATTACATTATTTTCGTTAGTTTTTTTTTTTTTTTCAAAATTCTATTCATTTCAATATATTAGTGCTTAGGTGGACACTTTGTGATGGGAACAAGGATAAGAACAGGTAACCCGGATATATTTTTATTCATACATTGTCATGCTGAAGGTGAACACAATCAAGTGGAAAACAACTTTTCTTTTCTTTTTTCAATTAGGATATGGGTAAGTTGATATATATTTTTTAAAAGACATATAAAATATAATTTAATAAAATACAGTTAAAAACATAAATAAATAATTTTTAATAGAAAATAAATATTATTGTGTTTCATTATAGAAAAATATAAAATAAATAACTCATCAAATTAATTAAATTCTATCACTTTTTAAAAAAAATATTTTTCATCTCTTTCTATTATACTAATAATTAAATATTTAATTCTTAATTTATTTATCCTCTACTTTTACTTTATTTATTTATTAGCCTCAAAATCAAATGACAATAACTTATAAGAATTTAAGAAAATGTTATTTTTCATATTCGATCGTAAGACTAAGTTCATGAAGCCTGAAAAAAAGTGGTATCTCCTTCTGAATCACCTGTTTAGGAGTCACTTTCAGAGGGATTGGTTTATAAAAAATAAAAACATAGGAAAAAAGGAAAATGAGAACAAACCAAAGAGAGAGAAAAACATAAAATAAGAAGATGAAAAAAAAGTGTGAAACCGGGGGAGGTACTATGCATCTATGCAATTCATTTTCAAAGCCTTCAACATTTTAGCTGCAGAGACAGGCTCAGCAACTCAAAAAGCTTTGATTTCAAAGGGAACCATAATTGAATCTTCAGACAAAACGTCACGTCAAAAGTGATAAACAGGGACGTAATTAATTAAGGATTTGATTGACTTGTACCCACCCAGAAAAACAAGCAAGAAATTATAGCTGAAATAAAACTCATAAAAATCGAAACAGGGGAAGAGAAAAATATGCAAAAATAGAACAAGATTAGATCTCAATTCATTCAATAACCAAACTTGACATAGGATCTCTCAGGTAGGAAGTACCAAGCACCACCCAAACCCTCACCAAAACAAGTTAAACAAGAGAAAGAGAATGAAGATTAATAGCACCTAATCTAGACTTATATATGTATATCTACAATAAGTTGTTGTTCATTGAAGGATTTTGGATTGGGTGTGTGGGTTCAGTAATACAACTCTAAACGCCTGGAACAGTGGGTACAGAAGTACTTTCTCTTAATCTTGAAGCAGAGGGGCAAGAAGCAGAGCTTGGACTGGATCTCAACATCCATGGCTTGAACTTTGGCTCCACAGTAGGGACACGAACCGGGGGCTTGTTGTCTTCCGAGTTCCTTCTCTTCTTCTTCACACACGTACACCAACCACATTTTTCTCCTGCAACAGCAACAGCAACAGCAACTACAACTACTACAAGTAGTTCCCTCGGGGAACTTGGACTTTATCACAGATTTGGGCTCAGTGCTTTGCTTGTGGGACAGCGCAAGCAAGAGCAACGTCCAAATCTAGAATTTGTAAAAGTTAAGGGCCAAGTGGTAGTGCAGATGGCTCGGTCGGTCCTATTTATAGACACACTGCTAAGGGTGTTGTCTTGCGGGTACTCATGCTAAACCAATTCCCTTATGCCATCTTCAAATGCATATCTTGATTCACTCATAAGTTTACATCATTATCCTGTAATGCTTTTTAATTCTTTTGACACCATGTATTTATAACATTTTAAAAGATTAATCAATATGTGTACTAAATTAAAGGTTATTCAATGATAGTTTTAATGATGTAACTTTCAGTGTATAAAAAAATATTTTCACATTTAATAAAAATACTTATTATTTATGTATTTTTTTAGAAGTTACATATCTATTAATTAATATATATATATATATATATATATATATATATATATATATATATATATATATATATATATATATCCCCTTAGAAAGATAGAAAAATAAAAATATTATAATTTTAAAACAATAATGATTATGGTTTATATATTTAAAAATATAAAAAATGAATATATTTAAAAATAGAAAGAGAAAATAAAATAAAATTTAAAAAATATAATTATAAATAAAATCTGGATACTCAAATCTTTCCTTTAGCAGTTGATTTTTGTTTCGACCTATGCCTAGCCATTTATATACATTTATTCAAAATATAAAAATTTATTAAATTTTTTTGTATTTAGTATTTTATTTTAAAAATTCTTTTTTTCATAAATAACTAAAAAATAAAAAAACATTTTACAAAATTACATTTCAAAAACATTTTAAAATATATTATAGCTTCATGTAATAATATAATTTATCTATATTTAATATTATAACTTCATGTAATAAATTTTTAATTAATATTCACATAATTAACTATTTTTTATATTAGTTAAAAGTTATTCAATTTACATTCATATTATTTATAATTTTTAAAATATCTATCTTAATTTAAAATATATTCAAGATTCATTTATTTAAAATATTTATAAAATATTTTAAATATTCATTTATTTAAAATATTTTTTTATTTAGATTTAGACTAAATTATATTATTATTTAAAATAATTTTTAAATATATATATATATATATTTTAAATTAATTAGTTTTTTTTACTTTATATTATTTTTCAGAAAATACTTAAACAGAGAAAAAAATAAAGAAAAAATATGAAATAAAAATAAAAGAAAATTATAATAATAAAAGAAAAATAGAAAAATATTAATAAAAATATAATGAATAGTCTAATTTTTAAACAGGTTCATCAAAATACGACAGAAACATACATATTAAAATTATACATATAGTATTCATATTTTTATTCCTCTCATGTAATTAAGCAAAAAAATATATCACATTTTATATTATCAATTGTTTTTATTTTTTATAACAAACAAAGAAAGGTAAGATTTTTCGTATTTATTTTTCTTTACAGAAGTTAAACAAAAATAATATTATGTTTTGTTTTGTTTTAGTATGATTTTTTGTCATTTTAACTTTTATTTATTTATTCTACTAAATAACCTACAAAATCATGACATCTTCATTTAATTTTTTTTACTTCTTAAATCAAACAAGAAATAAAGATAATTATTATAAAAGTTAAACAAAGTAACATATATATACAACACATCATCTAACGGAACGATAGTTAATAGATGAGTTGTTATTATCATTTCCTTGCATAGGCCAAACAATATTTATATAAGATGCATGTATATATATTTTTTCTTAATTTAAGAGGAACATATCATACTCCCACAAACGGATTTTTCGATTATTTCTTCTATTTTTTTTTAATTATTTATATATTTATAATTTTGATTTGTAATTTTTGTTTTCATCTTTTTATATTCTCGTCATTTTTTTTAATATCCTCATTTATTTTGTATTATATATTATTTTTACTTTCTAAAATTATTGGTTAAGATTCATTATTTTATATCTTTGTAGCATTTTCTTAAAAATATAATATAATTATTTATTCAACTTAATTAAATTATTTAATTATAATTTAATAATAAAATAAATTAATTTTAAAAATATTAATTCAGTTATATTATTAGACAAACATAGAGATAAAGATAAAGTTAAAAATATAAAATATATACAAATAAATTGAACTTCTTCTTTATAAGAGTTTTTCCTCTCATTTTTTTTTTTTTTTACGCTTGTTTAATTTCTAATACTTAGGAGAAACATTGGAGGAGACAACACAGTAAGAATTTGGAGAGTGAATTTTAGACTTATAAGTTATATTCCATAATGTTACATATCTGAGGCAAGAGGAACAATGGAGAATATCTCATGTACGAATGTTTATAAAAATTTGTATTCAGATATAAAATTAAGTTTTTTTTCCCCCTTAAATTCTGATTAAAAAATGTGTTAAAAATAAGAGTAAATGGTATCGATGGCACATTATTTTTTAAATTATAATTATATTTCTTGTTTTCTATTCATTATTTTTTATTAGTGTGATGTAATATATATATATAATAATTTTAAAATATGAAGAAATTTTAAAAATTACGAGAAGAAGACGTGCCAAAGTTAAATAGTATTTTCTTAACATTTGGCTTTACTCACTTATAATTAGCATACTTTTTAATTTAATACTCCAGACAATAATAAATGTACTTCAGGTTTTTCAATATTTTCAGTAAAAACATAAATGTTAATATAATAATAGTTTTTGTTTGTTGAATATAATTTCATTAGTTTCTATATAATAATGTATTTTTTAAATTTTTATTAGAACACTTTTATTTATGGATAGTTTGGGAAGCACTTAGAAGATAGAAAAACTGTATTTAACATGTTTGAAAAAACATTTATTAACAAATAAATAACGACATTTATCTTATATTATATTATTGTAATTGTAACATAGATTGAAAATTCGGTTCACTAACGAAACCTCACAATATTATAACATTATTTATTTATATATTATATATGTAAAAGTAGCTTCCTCGAAGCTATCACACTGAACTATCCCTGTTGTCCAGTAGTCACATCTCCATCTCTCAACTCCTGATCTGCTCTCACATAAAAGTGATATCGCAATCCCATCCACATGGAAAAATAGGGGTAAGTATTAAATAATTCGATATAATAAAATAGATGTAAAAGTAATAATTATATATTATGATCAATTACGAAATCATCAACATACTAAGACACTTTCCGGAAGTATACCCTAACTATGCCCAAATTCAGAGGTTATCGTCTGTGGGCATATTGTGATCGGTACCCGCAGTACCATTCTGACCACCCTCCATACAGAGTAGAATTACTGGTGCCCTTCATCACTCATACTGGCGTACCCCTCTGAGCACGTCACCAACCATCCCCATCGACTTCTCACCACCTGATCTCGTAGTCTATCTGACCCGACCAATCAGTGAAGTCTGGGACCTCATTCAGAATCCTCCGACATAGTTATTACACTAATGTACTTTGTACCACCCCAGGTACCATTCAAACACAACAAAAATCATTCACATTTGCCGGATTCTGGACCACTTGTCCTCATGACTCATTCAAGTCAATAAATAATAGTACGTGACTGATTCTGGACATCAACCCTCTGGCTCAGTCTAGCCAATACATAACATCTCATGACTGATTATGGACATCAGCCCTTAGACTCAGTCTGACTCACACACGTTACAACACACTACATGAATCTTTAAAACTGTTACATTCATTTTATATTTTAAATATATATATATATATATATATATATATATATATATTCTTCTTCTTCTTCTTTTGTGAAATCATTTCCGAAATCACTTTCGAAATCATTTCCAAAATCTTTTTTGAAATCATTTCTGAAATCTTTTTCGAAATCATTAAATTACTATTTTGCCCTTAATCCTTTCTCGAAAATTTCATGTATGTCCCTAAATGACTATTTTACCCTTGAACATTTTTGAAAATTTCTTCCATGTCTTGAAAATGACTATTTTACCCTTGGACATTTTCAAAAATTTCATTTATGTCCTTAGGATATAAAATGACTATTTTACCCTTGAACATTTTCAAAAATTCCATTTATGTCCCTGGGATGTAAAATGACTATTTTATCCTTAATCTTTTTAAAAAATCCCCACCATATTCCTTTCTTCTTCCTTCGCCCAGTTATAGTATCATATTTTTGAAGATTTCAAATTACTCAGTTTTAGACAACCAAACTAGTCCCAAATTCAAATTAAACATGAATTATATCTAATTTAAGTTGAAAACAACAATTTTACCACATAATTCATCCTTAATTTTAAGAATTTCAAAAAACTTTCAAACGGTGAACAGTTCATCAGAATCAGAAATTCTTCAAAATCAAACATTCAAATAACTCATATCTCTACTCTTATTCCTTATTCATAGAGTATCCAGCAATTCAATTTCATATATTGAATGAATTAAATTTCCCCTTACCTTGTATGATATTTCTACCGAAGTTTTTCCACTTAATTCAAGTTCTCTCCCGTTTCACTAGATCCTGCACGAGTAGAGTCTCGTTGCTTTAAACAAAAGAAGAAGAAGAATGAGGAACACGTGATATGGGAGGAAGAATTTCTTGCTGTAACCATTCCTCCCCCTTCGAACATATAAAAGAAAATTTTTTACTGTATATGAGGAAAACTTCGTTACGAAGTTTTCTTGCACAGTAAAAAGCATACGTCACATTTATTGGTTAAGTAATTTAAACTAAATAAAGTAATGTAAATTTACAATGTAATGTTACAAAAACTTAAATTTTAAGCTAATAAGATCGTAACATTATTGTCATAGAAACACACAAGGTTAACATGTTAACTTTTTTCACTTTTTACACACACAGATTATATTTATTTTGATACTC